CAGACAAACCTACTCAGAACACAAAGTAGCTGTAATACTCTGAAAAAGACTGATGGCTGAAAACTGATGACTCTGTCGTAACTGTAAGATGTTCCATTACAATATATAAATAGTAACATATTCAGAGATATTTAGAATTCATATTAATAAGACACACAGGAGAAACTCTGTGGTTGTACTTTTTATTTAATTCTCATTGCTGTTACTGGTTGGCGGTTTTGTCAAAAGATTCTTCTGTTAATGTGTTTCATTAAAAGTTCACTTAATTAACTGCAGTTACAAAATTCTTAACTTTATTTCGGCTCTATTTTGGCTCCGTTTTCGTTAGCATGTGTCAGGATAGGTGGGTCTAGCTATTACATGATGTTCTGCCATAGGTGATAAGAAGGTAAGAAGGTGACAGTTGCAACAAGTTTAAGCCCCATGATATTATTGTAAAATAATGCATGTTGTCAGAGTACCAGGCTTATAGACAAAAAGCCAGTTAATTAGTGAAATTTAATGTACTTTCTGACATGCTGCAGCTGTCTCCAGGGCTCGGGCTTTTACGGAATGTAAAAAGATTGAATACAGATACTCAAGTTCTGTGTGTGTGTGGTTGTTGCGGGGGTGGGGGGTGGGGGGGTTGATGCATGTACAACTCCCACCTTGCTCTCTTTCTTCTCTGGTTTGACTGGTTCTTGGTCTTGGAGAACTCGTTCCTCTATCAGCTGAAACATGGGAGGAAAATGTTCAAACAGGAGGATTTCTGTGTGTTAAGCTGCACAGAATCAGCATCATATTAGACTCATTTTACACGTTTATCAGGAAAACAAAGCCTCAATAATATAATAAACATATTAAACTCCAAACGTTTGAACAGAAGTGAATGTGTAGAATTACAGACTGCAGTCCATCTGTTACTGCACAGTTTATCAGACCTCTCTACCCCATTCATCAATGACCAGTTACTGACCACAGGATCACTGCTGGGCAGTTAGTATTTGGATGGTGGATCATTCTCAGCACAGCCATGCCACTAGCTTTATAGTGTGTGTGGTGCTGGTAGGAGTGGATCAGACACAGCGGTGTGGGTGGGGTTTCTCGGTTGAGAGTGCTCCACATGCCACAAATGTCAGGAACTGACCACTGATGAAGGTCCAGAGTTTGGTTAGTACAAACTGTACATCAGCAGATGGACTACAGTCTCTAACTGAACACCAGCAGGGCTGAGATGCAAGGGCGAGGTTTCCGATAAAGTGGCCAGTAAGTGTATCTGCACACAGTTACTCTGCGCTCAGACTGACAGACTCACCCTGTGGCTCATTCCGGCTCCTGTCCAGCGGGCGCGCTGCTGGCCCTGGACACATGAAGCGTGTTGGATGTCACTGTGTACTGTGTAGTACAGTTTTAGAACAGTTCTAAAACAGATTTACAGATTTTCCCTTTCACCCCAAATCTATTAAATCAGTAAAATCATGTTTGGTGTCTGAAGTTCGATTCTTCAGTTCTGCACTGGAGCTACGAGGCTAATGCAGCTCACACGTAACGGAAGCTTTTACAGGACAATAAAAATGGACAAAAGCATCGACAAAATTCAGGCTTCATAATGGCTGCTAGCAGCTATTTAACTACCCAACAGACTCTTTTATAGATGACACCAAGGCAGTTTGTACAACGCTAACTGGTGGATTTAAGCCTCTATTATGTGTTAGCTGCATTAGCCTCACAGCGCCACTGCAAGACTAGAAGCAAACTTCACACATCAAACATGTACAGACTGATCGACGATGTTTGCACTGTAAAAAAAAATATCCTTGCAAGTGAAAAGATCTTGAATATCTTTTGTCTCATTTTGAGATAACGTAACCTATTTCTACATTTTGCTTATTTTAATTGATTTTATTAAGTACATATCTCACCATATTTCTTGACACAAGCAAAATGATCTGTTACTATAGTGAAATAATCTCACTTGATAAAATCACTTTAAACAGGTAGAAAATGTCTAGAAACAAATGAAATAATCTCATAATAAGTTTATTTTCAATGTGAAAAATAATCTGAAAATGAGAAATATTCAGTATGTCGACTAGATTTAAGATAATTTCACTGGCCAAGATATCAGTTTTTAAAGTTTGGGGTTTTTCTGGCAGACATTCCTATAAAGATGAATAACAAACATAAACCCGCAGCTCAGAAGCTTTACCTGGGCCTCGAACACTCACAGAGGGCAGAGGTGGGGGACCTGCAACACACACACACACACACACACACACACCATGCATATGAGACCAACAAACTTCTCCACAGACAGGATCCAGAACGTTCTGTGGGAGTGTTCTCGGTACCTTGCGCGCGGCTGTTCGCTGTTTTGCCTCCCAAACCTGAAAATACTAAAACACACCATACAGAGTTACTCAGGATCTGATTAAAGCCAACATCAGTGGATGATGTGTCTGTATGTGGTGGTGCCGCGTGGACGTTAGGTTGGTGCACATTCACTCACGTTTTAAAAGGC